TAACCCCCTCCAGATTCCTCCATGTTATGTTTCACGACTTCATCGTTGTTCTTTATCGTTGTGTAGTATTCCATTGTGTGGATATACCACAATTTGTTCATCCTTTCATCCGCTGATGGGCACCTAGATTGTTTCCATCTTCCTGCTACTGTGAACAGTGTCACAAAGAACATGGGTGTGCATATATTTATTTGTGTGACGGCTCTTATTTCTCTAGGATATATTCCAAGGAGCAGGATAGCTGGATCGTATGGAACTTCTACTTCTAGCTTTTTTAAGAAGCACCAAATCGATTTCCAAAGTGGTCGTACCATTTTACATTCCCACCAACAGTATATAAGTGTATGTGGAACTCTTCTAATAGAACCAGAATCACACCAACTCATAGTGGCTCCATGTGTGCCAGACTAGAACTGCGCTCCATAGGGTTTTCAGTAGCTGATTTTTTAGAAGTAGATCTCCAGGCCTTTTTTCTGAGTTGCCTCTGGGTGGACTCAAACTGCCAACCTTTCGGTTAGCAGCCAAGAGCTTTAACCGTTTGCACCACCCAGGGACTCCCAATAGTCAGAGGCATTTAAATTGGAGCAGACTGTCCCAAAGTAACTCTGTCTAGATAACTGAGTATCAGGTTAATGAAAGCATTCATGCAGAGTCTGGTTGTCTACCCCTTGAAGATGCTGGCAAGAGAGTCCTCGCATTGAGTACTTGGCTAGATGGCCAGATGACCTTAAGCTCTCTAATGCTAATATTGTATGAACTTATTCAAAAGAAACAAAACTCTGGAGCCTAAACTAGGAAAAAAAAAAAAAAAAAAGGAGGGAGGAGAGGAATATATGTAGTGAGCTTAAAATTGAAAATGCCACTAGATGGCTTATCAACTCACATTGGATCTTACTATGTACTGGATGAAGTCACTTTGGGTTCATCCTGAATGTTTATGAAACACCAAACACAGCAAGTTGGTGATTCCGGTCATTCCGGGAAAGGGCCTAGTTGTAATTTGTCCGTCCATGGTCTTGGATGATTGGAGCAAAAAGGTGGGTTGGAATAGGATATGAGGAATTTTCTTTTTAGGCTGAAAAACCAGAAATGCAATTTTTGGGCAATCTGATTCAAACCTGCCTTAGAATCTTGCAGCACTCCCCAGTTATTCAGGGTAAGGAGAAAGGAAACTGTAAGATACGCCAGAGAGAACTTGATTCATAGCATTGATTGGCACTGCCCTGCCGGCTGCTCCTTAGCCTGCCAATCAGGCAGTGCCAATACCACTGCTGGTTAGCATCATCCCTACTATTACTGCTAATAGTTACTGCCTTTGCAATCTTTCATTCATTTTCCTGAGTTTGGTCCATACTGAATTTGTCACTCAAAAGGAAAAGCAGTTTCTCCAGTCTCAGAGAATAGCTCAAAGACTTGAAATAGATAAAACATCAGATGTGAGACCAGGTTATTAATCCCTGTCTCAGTCATCTTAGTGCTGCTATGACAGAATTACCACAAGTGGGTGGATTTAACAAACAGAAGTTTATTCTCTCACAGTCTAGAAGGCTAGAAGTCCAAATTCAGGGCACCAGCTCCAGGGGAAGGCTTTCTCTTTCAGCTCTAGAGGAAGGTCCTTGTCATTAATCCTCCCTTGGTCTAGGAGCTTCTCCACAAAGGAACCCTGTGTCCAAAAGATGTGCTCTGCTTTTTTGGTGGTATGCGGTCCCCATGTCTCTCTGCTGGCGTCTCTCTTTTATATCTCAAAGGAGATTGGCTTAAAACACAATATAATCTTGTAGAATGAGTCCTGCCTCGTTAACATAACTGCTGCTAATCTCATCTCATCAACATCATAGAGATAGGATTTACAACACACAGAGAAATCACATCAGATGACAAAATGGTAGACAATCACACAATACTGGGAATCATGAATGAGCCAAGTTGACAGATATTTTTGGGGGACACAATTCAATCCATGACAATCTCTAAGGACCCTTGATTGAGTTTTGCCACCCTTGTTTTCCCGTCTTCTCTGGTGGAGAAACTAGTGACGTGCCCAAAAAGGAGAACAAAGAAGAAGCCAGGGAACTGAGCAAAACCCACAAACCAAAAACTCATTGCCAAAATAAAATGCACTGGCTGTGTTGGGTTTGGGACTGGGTTAACCTTTGACCTCTGATTTTGCTTGCGGTGATGTCATAGAGGCCGCATAGCAACAAGTGGCCTCCCCTCAACAGCACTCTTGGGCCTACTTCCCTGGAGAAGAGATCACAAGAGAGGTTTGAAACCATGCTTTCTGTCTAAGATTTTATTTTGAGAGTCAACATCCCTCTTCTTTCTCATGATTTAAAAAAAAAAAAGGAGAAGCTGATTATGGAGAAGGATACCTCATCTGTGTACAGGAGGCACCGGCCCATCCCTGGAGCCAATCCTTTGGGAATGGCATCTGGACATCTCAAAGTGGCCAACGAAGCAGCTGAACTTCAGAGGAGCAGAAGTATGGGTGGCTTACACCAGAAGGGGGACCCTCCGAGCCACATCAAGAAGCCACAGAACGAGTTAGGTAAGAAAGTGGTCTCTTGTTTTGAGGGCATCCATGCTCTGCCAGGCAAAGGAAGGAACCTGCTGGGGACTCCTCCTAGCTCCCACTGCCCCTTTGCTGAAAATTCTAATGGCCAAAGATAAGACATTTATAGGTCAGCACCTCCCAAACAGCTCACTGTGCACACTGAGGTAAGCAAGTGAGGAGTCACTTCTCACCTGGAGGTGACAGGACCAGCCTGGGGGCTCCAGCCAGGCCAACTTGAGAGCAGGGGCCAATATCTCAGGCACACCCATGGCCCATTGGTGGGTGACCCAGTTAGGAAGCTCTGTTGAAGCCAAGCAGAATAGTATGAGAGGAGAGACAGACACAAAAGGTGGAGACATAGGGCAACCCTACAAAGACATCATTTAGTCACCTGAGGTCCAAGTCTGTCCTCAAACTCCTGAAGTTTCTTGGACTTATATTGAGCCCTGGGGGTTATAATTGTGCCTTTGAGGCAAGCCTCAATTCCTCTGCAGCTAACTACTGTGGAATTTCCAAGGGCCCCCATGACTTACCAGTGAATTCTTGGCAGTTGGTACCAGCCTGTAATAATGCTTGACACTAATACGGTTTTTAAATTGTAAAAAGTGTATATAGGTTTATACCCTACATCAGGCAGTGTTTGACACTCTAGTATATTTCTAAATATGTCAGATAGGGCCATCTTGTGGGTTAAAGTGGGGATTGGTATTTAAAACATCCTAGCCCATCTGACAGAACTATACCATGAATATTAATACAGGCTCTCCCTCCAGTTAAGCATTTCAAAGCACTTTTTCTGGAACAACTGGTCCTTGAGTCAGCTGAGAAATAGAAACATGGAATTGGTTAATTCAGTCATTTGCCTGGGGCTGTAGTGCTAAAGGCTGCCTTCATCATTTTTGGTTTCTTGGGGTCCCCGTTAACCGTGAAAGGTTCCACACCAGCAAACCTCCCCTTATGAGGTTCTCACACAATAAGTGGGAAATATGGCTTGCTGGTGGCACAGTGGTTAAGAGGTCAGTTGCTAACCAAAAGATTGGCAGTTCAAATCCACCAGCCATTCCTTGGAAACCTTATGGGGCTGTTCTACTCTGGTCTATAGGGTCCTTGTGAGTCGGAACGGACTGGACAGCCACGTGTATGTATGTATGTATGTATGTTCAAGCGTTAGGGGCGATTTTAAGAGATAGTGGTGTAAAAATCCAGAGATCTGTTGTGTAAGGAGAAGAACAGGGCTTGAGAGATGGAGGGCTGGGCCTTCGTGTCACACGAGCAGTTGTATTGCTCTTCCAACCACCTCCATCACCATTAAACCCTCCAGCACAGCCATGACTTCTCTGATTTCCTCAAGATTTGCCAAGTTCTCAAAAGAGGGAATTAACTTGGCAATAGCTCTAATTTATGTTTCTTTTGGGAGTGTCTTAGTCTTCTAGTGCTGTTATTATAACAGAAATACCACAAGTGGACGGCTTTAACAAAGAGAAATTTATTTTCTCAGAGTCTAGTAGGCTAGAAGTCCAAATTCAGGGTGTCCGCTCCAGGGGAAGGCTTTCTCTCTCTGTCGGCTCTGGAGGAAGGTTCTTCTCATCAGTCTTCCCCTGGACTAGGAGCTTCTCCGCGTAGGAACCTGGGTCTGAAGGACGAACCCTGCTCCCGCTGCTTCTTTCTTGGTGGTATGAGGTCTCCACTCTCTGCTTGCTTTCCTTTCCTTTTATCTGTTGTAAGATAAAAGGTGGTGCAGGCCATGCCCCAGGGAAACTCCCTTTACATTGGATAGGGGATGTGACCTAAGCAAGAGTGTTACATCCCATCCTAACTCTCTTTAACCTCAGGCCAAGATTGTGATTTATAACACATAGGAAAATCACAAAATGGAGGACAACCACACAATACTGGGAATCAGGGCCTGACGAAGTTGATACATATTTTTGGGGGACATGATTCAATCCATGACAGGGGGTTTTAAGTAGGGATGAAGGAGCATGTCTCAAAATTCAATAATGCCTAGCCACTGAGTCATCCAAAAGTTTGGGACTGAAGGTGTTAGAAGTTGGAGGAAAGGCTAAATTCCCACAATTCCTAAACATTTCCCATCTAGCACCTATTGGATTTCCCCTAAACCAGAGGAGAGATGGGAGTGAGGAGATACTGAAGGGAAACTGGACTTGCATACAGCATATTGTACTACCAAGCTTGGCAAGGACCTCCACATTCATGCACATGACTCCCTTCGAGGCACTAGGACCCTCAAAGTGGGTTTCCAGACCACATGTTCCTTGTATATGTTCAATCTCCCCTTATAGCTCTGTGGCCTTACTTACCCACAAGGCAGCTGTGATATTGTCGGTAGGAAAGCCAGAAGGGCCAGCCATCAGTTATTTTACTTATCAGCCACGGGACCTGGGGAAGAATTGCTTAAACACTGTAAGCCTTGGTTTCCACAACTTCAAATCAGAAGAGTCAAAGTTGCCTTGCCAAATTAACTCATATTGTCAATGGATTTATTTCTTCCCTCCTTACATATTTATTGAGTTTGGTACTGGCTTATATAAAGAAATACTGAGATGAATAAGACATAGTGATTGGCATCAAAGTCAGGGAAATGTTCATGTGAATAGACTACAGATGACTGAAATTATAAAAACATGGTAAGATACAGAAGCCATGCAGAATGGGAGTGATCAGCTTACTGGTGAGGGGGTGCAGGGACATGAGGGGGTGGCCAGAGACAGTTTCTGCAGGATATGACATCTGAACTGAGTACTGGGAGATGAATGAGATAATGAATACAAGCTTGGAGGGATGTTCTAGGAGAGGAACATCAAGAGCCGAAGCAAGAATCCACTGTGTTCCAGAACCATAAATGGCCATGTTGAACTCACCTCACACCCTTGACACCGCACCAAACTATTCTAGGCATTTACACACGCTACTCCCACTGCTGGAGTGTCTGCCCCTCTTTTTTTACCGAGCCAGTCTTACTTATCACTCAGCTTTCTGCTAAAACATCACTTCCTCAAAGAGACTTCCCTCACCATGCCACCTGCATTAAGGTGCGGCTAGTGAACCAGCTCTGAAACTTGCACTTGAACATAGAGTAGCTAAAGTGAATGAAAGAAATAATGAAGTAAAAGAGCTCAACAGAAGATTTCAAAAGGTGGCTCATGAAGATAAAGTATTATAATGAAATGTACAAAGCCCTGGAGTTAGAAAACCAAAAGGGAAGAACATGCTAAGCTTTTCTCAAGCTGAAAGAACTGAAGCAAAAAAATGCAAGCCTCCAGTTGCAATACTGAAGGATTCCAGGGGCAAAAAATTGAATGATTCAGGAAGCATCAAAGGAAGATAGAAGAAACATACAGAGTCATTGTATCAAAAAAAATTGGTCAACGTTCAACCATTTCAAGAAGCAGCATATGATCAAGAACCAATGGTACTGAAGGCAGACGTCCAAGCTGCACTGAAGGCATTTGCAAAAAACAAAGCTCCAGGAATTCACAACAAATGGTTGCAACACTGGAGGTGCCCACTTGTCCGTGCCAAGAAGTTTGGAGAACAGCTGACTGACCAACCAACTGGAAGAGATCCATATTTGTGTCCTTTCTGAAGAAAGATGATCCAACAGAATTGTGGAAATTATTGAACAAGATATTGATTAACATCATTAAGATATCATTAACATCACACACAAGTAAAATTTTGCTACATGTAATTCAAAAGCAGTTGCAGCAGTACATTGACAGGGAACTGCCAGAAATTCAAACCAGATTCAGAAGAGGATGTGGAATGAGAAAGATCATTGCTGATGTCAGATGGATCTTGGCTGAAAGCGGAGAATACCAGGAAGATGTTTACCTGTGTTTTATTGACTATGCAAAGGCATTTGACTACGTGGATCGTAAGAACTTATGGATAACATTCCAGAGAACGGGAATTCCAGAACACTTAATTGTGCTCATGCGGAACCTGTACATAGACCAAGAGGCAGTCATTTGAACACAACAAGGGGATATTGTGCTGTTTAAAGTCAGGAAAGATGTGCATTAGAGTTGTATCCTTTCACCATACTTATTCAATGTGTATGCTGAGCAAACAATGCAAGAAGCTGGACTATATGAAGAAGAACATGACATCAGGATTGGAGGAAGACTCATTAATAACCCGTGTTATGCAGATGACACAATCTTGCTTGCTGAAAGTGAAGAGGACTTGCAGCACTTACTGATGAAAATCAGACTATAGCCTTCAGTATGGATTGTGCCTCAACATAAAGAAAAAAAATCCTCACAACTGGACCAATAAGCAACATCACGATAACTGGAAAAAAGATTGAAGTTGCCAAGGATTTCATTTTAGTTGGATTCACAATCAACACCCATGGAAGCAGTAGTCAAGAAAGCAAACAATGCATCACACTGGGGATCTGCTGCAAAAAACCTCTTTAAAGTGTTAAAAAGCAAAGATGCTACTTTGAGGACTAAGTTGCGCCTAACTCAAGCCATGGTATTTTCAATCACCACATATGTATGTAAAAACTGGACAATGAATAAGGAAGGCAAACGAAGAATTGATGCCTTTGAATTATGGTGCTGGCAAAGAATATTGAATATACCATGCACTGCTAGATGAGTGAACAAATCTATCTTGGGAGAAGTACAACAAGAATGCTCCTTGGAAGCAAGGATGACAAGACTTTGTCTCTTGTACTTCGGACATGTTATCAGGAAGGACCAGTCCCTGAAGAAAGACAGCATGCTTGGTAAAAGTGGAGGGTCAGTGAAAAAGAGGAAGATCCTCAATGAGATGGTTCGACACAGTTGCTGCAACAATGGACTTAAGCATAACATTGATTGTGAGGATGGCACAGGATCGGACAGTGTTTTGTTCTGTCGTACATAGGGTCACTATGAGTCGGAACCAACTTGATAACACCTAACAAAAACAACAACAGTGAACGCACAGCCACCACCTGTCCGTAGGCGGAGATTTTCATGTTGCTGAACAGATTTCAGCAGAGCTTCCAGACTAAGATGAACTAGGAAGAAAAGCCTGGTGATCTACTGCTGAAAATCAGCCAGTGAAAATCCTATGGATCACAATGGTCTGATCCCATTGTGCATATGGTCGCCGTGAGTTGGGGGCCGACATGCCAGCAACTAACAAAAACAACAAATGGTTCTCTCTAGGGGAACCTGCTCTTTCTTTCATAGCGCTCAGTAACAGTTGAATAAATGAGTGAGGGAATTGCTAATGCTTAAAGTATGAGGGAGGAGATCTGAAGAGGCTAGGTGGGGAGCTTGAGTTTTATATTCCATGCTGAGGGGTTGAGATGAAAGGGATCTGTCAAAATCTTTAGGCAAGGTAGATACACGCTCAGACTTGTGTTGACAAAGTTGTAATGAAGCTCTCTCAGTTGATAAGCACTGTCAGACTTATGACATTGGCTGTCTCGTGGCCTCTGAGCCTTCCTCTCATCCCCCACCATATCACAGAATCAACTGTAGTTACAAAGTCTTGGTAACTATTTTGTTTCTCTTTCTCCAGCCAGCATAGCTCCTTTTATGTTTTCTGAGTACTTACATAACTGCCAAGAGAACTCTCTAAGGCCCATTCACCAGACCTACACCTGCTACATCTTTCACTTCTACTCGGTTTCATCCCTGGCATTATCACTGCACAATCCTAGACCTCTCAGGATCTCTTTGGACTTAAGAGTGTAAACCAGATAAAGCTGGGTTTCCTAATGGGGCTGTCTCATCATGATTTCACATTCAAAAGAAAATAACCCATAAAAGGTTTGAAAATAATTTAAATCTTAGTTGAAGAAGGGCAGCAAAGGAAATATTCTATTCCTATAATATAGCAGGAAACCCTGATGGTGTAGTGGTTAAGAGCTATGGATGCTAACCAAAAGGTCGGCAGTTTGAATCCACCAGGTGCTGCTTGGAAACTCTGTGCGGCAGTTCTACTCTGTCCTATAGGGTTGCTATGAGTCAGAATCAACTCAAAAGCAATGGGTTTACAGTATAGCAAAATTTCTGAACATCGTATTTCCCCATCTTTCTCCTAATATATTGCATAGCTCATAAGTGCCACACTTTCAAACACTCCAGAAAAACTCTCTGCCTTTTCAAATATTTCTCAGCTTAACCCTTTAGGAGTCATCACCTCAACATACCTGGAACCCAGGTAAGTGTAGGATCTTTCTTAGAAAAAGCGTAAAGCCCTTAAACACTTAATAAACATTAATAATTTTTACTTTCTCATATAAGATGCATCTTGGGGGATGGACAGGGTAGGGTGTTTTCTACAATGCTTTGAAGCAAAGAAAAATTACATCTCTCCTTTCATTGACTCTTTATTTCTTGCCACATACATTTGATAGAGAAGAGCAAGGTTTGATGTGTTTTCCAAAACACACACACACACATATACATATATGCTGCTAGGGGGCTGCTGAAGATTTTCTAAAAGAAGTTAATTTTACAATCCCTGCTAGAAAACCATTGATTCAAAAACATTCGGTTCCTCCTTATCTGAGGTTGAGACTAAGATGTCAAGCCCTCCTGCCTTTTCTCCCTAAGGGACATCTTGAGAGCTCACAAGTTCTGAAAAGTCTCTAAAGAACTGCAGAATGTACCACCACCACCACTCCACTCCTGCGGGGCTACCTTTATGAGGCTACCTAGAGTTTCAGGTGATCTTAACTCCTCACCACACAGAGGATCATTCTTAGATCCTAAAAAAACACTTAGGAAAATCACCTATTGTGTAACTTACCCTCAGAAAATCATGCTCATTGCTTTTGCATAATTAGTCAAGAATCTCTGCCTTGACATTGTACTCTTTCAAAGAGCTATCTATGTGGGATCAAATTGACGACAGCAACTTGAAAGGTTAGATATAGGAAGCTTAGGCGGCAATGAGTTTATGTTAATGTGGGAGGAAGAGTTTGCAAAAAGAGGGTGAGAATTGTTGCACAACTTGAAGAACGAAATCAATGGCATGAAGTGCACATGGAGAAATTGTTGGATTGCTGTAGGCACTGCTGTGTATACTTTCAACAACAACAACAAATATTTAAAAAAAAAAAAAGGTATACTGCTTGCAAACTTCCTGGACATGAACAAGTTTGCATTTCATTAGAACACAATAGACAAGTAAACAGTAGTCTCCTTCCCTCTGATCACGGGAAACAGTTGTGGCTAATGGGGAAAGCGCTTTTTCCTGCCCAAATTATTAAAATGCAGTTGTACCTTAGTTGTTTATTGACAACAGTTACTTAATGGGAGGCTGGGATTGGAAGACTGTTTTTGTGTTCCCAGTTCCCTCAACCTCAGGCAATTTCAATAAACTGACTGGATGTCCTGGGATAAAAATCCTTACTACTTGGCTAGCAAGTGTTCCTTTTTCATGGAACCAAGACTGTACTAAAAAACATCGTGGCAATGACCCTCAGAGGAACCAGGAGGGATTAATAATCAAAGGTATTTTCATGGACAAACTGCTTATAGATTCAAGTGCTGCCTTCCTGGGACTTGAACACGCCCCCTTCCCCATTGGCTGACATTCACCTGAGGGAGGTGGGACTCTGGGAATAGAACAGCATGGATATCATCTGTTCTGCTTCGGCTGTGGGTTTCCAGTTAATTGGTGAGACCAACAGTAATTTCAAGAGGGCTCACTAGTCCTGAAGAAACATTTACTGTAAAGGCATTTGAATATACTGAATGTACACTGGAGCCCTGGTTCGAATCCACTAGCTGCTCCTTGGAAACCCTATGCGGCATTTCTACTCTGTCCTACAGGGTCGCTATGAGTCAGGATTGACTCAGTGGCAATGGGTTTTTTAATTTTTTTATTTTTATGAGTCCTCCAGAAACATTCCATGAGCCCCTGGGATGTGGTAAGGGTTGTAAACACCACCTAAAGGATGCAAGGGGAGCTTTGCTGGCCCCAGGGCTCTGTGGAACAGGCTTGAAGGTACTGAAGCTCTAGCAATGTGCTTGGGGGTGGGTTTAAGCCTGGGCTGTGTAAAGTGCTAAGGTAATAAATTATAGAAGTGGGCAGCATCATGGGGCACGGGGATGAGAGAGGAGAAACTGTCAAGATGAAACATCAAAATATACTTTAGCCATAAAAAATTAGTCATTAATTGATAATTTAGCATCACCAGCATGCCAGGGGCTCCATATAACCTAGCACCTGTAGCCCAAGGAGATCCTTTCAGGTTGTGCTGTGGAAGAACTCAGAAAATCCAGTCCTTGGTCCCCAGCCCCAGGCTCCTCCAGGGAACCTGCCAGGACATTTACACTAAGACTAAGGTAGTGAAGGCACTGACAAATACTGCTTCTGTTCTTCTCAGAATCTGAAGATCAGGGAAAAGACTCAAGAAGTGACGCAGAAGATGCTAGCTGGTAAGCGGGCATTTTGTTTTCCAGTGCTTGGTCTGCATACAGGTAGTTTGCTAAAAACGGTGAGGACAGCTAGAAACAGTGGGTATAGGCAGTGAGGGCAGTCATCTAGTTCAAGACTTAGGAGGGTGCCAAAGGAGCCCTTGAGAGCTCAGACAGGAGGGGTTTGAGAAGTTCTTTTTATCTAGAGAAAGGTGTCGTCATGGAAACAGGATGGCCCTAAGATGGTTCTCAGTGCTGTGAATGAACTACCACTCCCTCCCACCGCTGTCCTGGGGCAATCCCCGTCTAGCTGTGCCTTGTGCTGAAAGTCTTAGAGCTGGTGTTCACTCACGGTCTCAGAAAACAACCTGACACAAACTCTCCTCAGAAAAGAAGGGTTGTCTCACTCTAACAGACCATGAGGGCTCACCAGAGGGCTCGTTTGTTGGGGAAGATTTTGATGTGCACCACTATAAATATAACCAAATCAGCAAATTTTTTTTTTTTTTAAGAGGGAAGGGTAGGGGAGCAACCTAGCCAGAGAGTGCCTCACTGAAGGTGCTTTCGTCTTTTCGTTCTGCCAAGGTCTCACCTCTCACTAGCATTACTCAGCATGTTCAACTTCCCTCATCCGCTTCTCTCTCTACCTCCTGGGTCTGCTCTCCCCAACCACCCACCCTCTACCATTAGGAAGGACTTAGAAGTCATTGAATTACCCAAGATTTTTTCTCAAATACTAACTGAAACGATTCACTAGCATCCTGGGCAAACCACACAGGACATAAGTCACTCTTGTTTACAAATGGTTCCTTTCGGCTAGAGACCAAGAAGGGAATTTGTCACCAAAAAATCATCAAAATTACACTCAGTGGATAAAGTGAGTTAAGTACTCATGTGTCAGAGGAGAAAGTATGAACCAACATGGAGAATCCCTTCCCTGAAGAGTTTAAAGAAGGTGATGGCCTCCAGTAAAGGACAGTGTTGAGCAGGGAAGACCCCACACCTTTATGGTGGTACTGCTGTACTGTGTGCTCATGTTGACCAATTCAAGAGCCAGCTACCATCCAAAAGTCAGCCCTAGTGGTGATGCTGGGAGAAGTCCCCTACCATCTTTGCCTTGTCATACTTTCCTCTTGCTCCCAGGCACAGCAAACAAACTGCTGGTGGGAGCAGGGTGTCACCCAGTTTTCTATGAGTAACAGCAGAACCAGCCACAGACCCCACCCAAACATGGTTCCGCTTGGTATCCATTTGGATTGAGTTGTGTATCTGCTTCAAGGGTGAGCACACTTTCTTGCCAGGTTTTGGTTCTATGAGCAAAGTTGGGCATTGCTTTTTGAAATAAGCACTAGTTGGCTATAAATTAGTCACCAGTTCAGAATTGGGCAGTATATTTGTCCAGGGTAAGTTTCTCCAACAAAGAGGGTCACCAAAGGGAAGCAGGAAGGTCGCTATGAGTCAAAACCAACTCCACAGCAATAGGTTCGGTTTGGTTTAGTTTGCTTTGGTTACACCATCATAAAGTAGACCTGGTGTAGCAATGGTTAAGCACTCAGCTGCTAACAAAAAGGTCAGTGGTTCGAACACACTAGCAGCTCCACAGGAGAAACGACCTGGTGATCTGCTATCCCATAAGGATCACAGTCTAGGAAACCCTATAGAGAGTTCTACTCTGTCACATGGGGTCACTATGAGTTGGAATTGACTCAAGGGCACACAACAACAACAAATACCAACATAAGGTCATCATCACAGGCTCAAGTGCTGGTCCCAGAGATTCCCAACCCCCAGCACAGGGAAAATAAGCATCAAGAGGAAGAACAGACATTGGATTAAAACTGCCTCCTCATGACGTCTATTCCATGCCATTCCTGTCCACTTCTTCTATAGTCAGACAAACCTAGAGGAAAGCAAGAAGGAAAAGAATTGGGAAGCCCTTGCAAAGCTGGACCATGATGATGAAAAAGTGGGACCAGAGGTTGAAAAGAGTAACTTAGAGGCCAGTGCCAAGGAGGAACAGGAGGAAGAAGGAGACACAGACAAAGGCACTAAGGAGGCCAAGGTCAGGCAATGTTTGTTTAGTATCTAACCACTTTTATTCCCTTATGTTAGAGTCTCATCTTTATTTACCTCTTTGGTCTTCTTTTGGTTTACAGGAACAGAAGCTGGCATCCACAAAGCTAGATGAGCTTCCGGGAATAGAGGCAAGAACTTTTTGCTTTAGTAATAGAAGTAAGATGGGGAGGCTTGTCCAGGCAAAAGTCCTGCCCCACAAGAGCTTGCTGTGGACACGTGATCTTAGGGGGTCATCTCAGCAGGGCACATCCTGTGGAACTGGACCAAGCTCTATCCCTAGAGAAGCTTCAGGTGTCAAGTTCCATACTGCTTTGGCCTGATCCCTGGGGCATCCAAATCCCAGCTTACCAAACAGTGCAGTTGCTAAGGGTATGTGGAATCATGAAGGGAGGTGACACTCAGCTTGACCTTGACCCAGAAAAACACTCCCAGAGCCTCATGCCCTGATGTGTTGCTGTAGACACATAGATACATCAGGGCACTTCATGAAGGAAGGTGGTTTTTATTTCCCTTCCCAAGGGCGTAGGGAATGGTGACATAGCGGGACACATTTTTTACCAGGAAGCCAGGACTGGCAATAGATCATCCTTAGTGTGATTCCAGGCATTCTGAGAAGTCCCTTACCTATCCCCAAATATCTCTCTTCCACTAGTGTTGACAAAAATGCTACCATTAAAAACACATTGTGAGCTGAGCCAAGATTCTCAGTTAGCGATGCACTGAGCTGCTCAGGCCACTAACGTCCTAAGTAGGAGCTTGGTGGAAAGCTTGCCCCACAGGTAGGTTTTTGGAGGAAGTCTCCAAGTTCAGCCCAACTGAGCAGGCCTGGGATGGGAATGGAGGGGCTATCCCAGCTCTGGGCATTGAGCTGCCACCTAGAAGCTCTGGTTCTCAGAAGACACAAATGGAGGAGACCCTCTGGGTTCTAAGGGACCTGATGACAGATGGAGTAGGGAGGAGTCAGAGACCATATTCCTCCCTCCTGTTCTTCTGCCAGAGCAGGTCCCATGGACACATCACTCTCTACTTTGCCATTAGTCTTTACCTGGACTTCTAGGAGCTTCCCACTAAACATTGTCAGTGTCTAATGAGCCTAGTGGTGATCACCCAGACCCAGGTGGCCCCCATGCCTCTCCCATGAAGTCTGCTTTCTTCCCTACTGTCACCAAAGCTCATCACCCATACCTCTTTGGCTTCCATTCACAGAAACCATCTACATTTGTTGACATTGATCTGGGAGACCATGCTGAGGAGGTAAAGACAAAACCGTCAGACAAAGGAAGTCAAGCCACCTACTGGGGAAAGTGCTTGTGCTGTCCAGGCTGGGATTGAGAGGCTTTTCCTGGGAATGTGCTGTTGCCCAGTAACACATGTGTTGGGGGGTGAGACAGAGACCCATAGCCAGCCAACTCCAAGAGAGCTCTGTGGTGGCCAGGACTGACCGTGGTAGGGAGAGAAGGGGATGGAACGCTGCTGCCCTTCTTTGTCCTCTCCCACTACAACCTGCACCATCTGAGACTCTAGTTCCTGGACCTACCCTCAGGGTGCCCACTGGCCCCAAGGGCCTCTTGTAGGATCATGCTGGAGTGGTGGAAAGGGCAGAAGCCTGGGAACTGAGAGACCTGGCTCCACGTTCAGCTCTGCCAGTAAATGCTCCAATAAGTCATCACACCTCCCTGTGCCTCTGTTCTCTCATCCATACAATGAGCCTCACGGTAGTACCTTCATCACAGGGTTGAGTTGTAAAACACTCAGAACAGTGGTTGGTACACAGAAAACACCAAGTGTTAGCTATTATCATCATCATCTATGAAAAGAAGAGATTGGACTCAATGGTCTGTTGAGACCCTTCCAACACAAATATTTTAGAATTCTCTTCCTCTGATTCTTTGCTATAGTGGGCATTCATTTTTTTGGAGGTCTTTTGAAGTTCTCTCTTGACAAGTTTAAGCTTCTGCCTGGAGGTCAGTTTTTTCCAAATAGGCTGTACTTACTATCTCTTTTCCCCTCAGAACATGAATAAACTAAAGACAGTAGATTATTAACTCATCCTACAGAGCTAGATACAGATGCACCATGTTTTCTAATGACTGAAAGGGTTAGAAAGCCAGTGGCAGAGTCAGGACTCAGGATCCCAGGCTTCCCAATTTACAGATCTCTAATTTACAATTCAGGGGCCATGGAGGCCCAAATCAAGGGTCTAGTTTCTCCGTCCCATTGCCATCGAGTCAACTCCAACTCATAGAGACCCTATAGGACAGAGTAGAACTGCCCCAAAATGTTTCCAAGGAGCAACTGGTGGATTCAAACTGCTGATCTTTTTGGTTAGCAGCCATAGCTCTCAACCACTGCGCCACCAGGGCTCCAGTTTCTCCGTCAGGGTTCCCTAACTGGAATATTCCACTCAACAGTGCCTCCCTTAGGGGGAGGAAGCTCAAGGCCAAGGCAGCTCTCTGTGAGCTCCATGTCCATGTCTGAGTCTGATTCTTGGGCTCTGACCCTCACTCCCTGTTCCCTGTCCCTGAACTGCTCCTGTTCTTCCCCATAGGTAGTTGCATGTGCTGTGAAAGAAGAGAAACGGTCCCAAATGGACACTGGAGATTTGTCTGAAGATGAGTGAGTGATGCTTCTAGATTTACACTTTGTGGTGGGGGTGGAGTTCATTTTCTCTACCATAGGTTCTGGTAGGCCTACAGTGTCTTATGCATGGAGGGAAGAACGTGAGCCAACTTGGCTTCTCCTCTTCTTACTGGGCTCGTGTGGACAACTAAGCATTTATAGTGGCTGGAAGAGGGGCTATGAAGCAGGCAAAAGGGTGTCTAGCTTTCCCAAAGGCTCAGGGATAACTCAGACAAGACAGGCTTTAGTCATGAATCTTACCTCACCCCATTAGCCAGATTGTGTTTCCTTATCCCATCAGCTAACAAAATGGCTGGAATATAAGGGAGGGAGAGAAGGGGAAGAAAGAAAGAAGGTGAAGAGCAAGGTGTAACCCATGTGAGCTGTGCCAGCTTCTCCAGTTTGGGTTTTTAGCAGTGGAGATCACAGACTCTCCTCCCTGCCAGGCAGTGGGACAACTCCTCTCATGTGGCTGGTGTCTTAGTCATCTAGTGCTACTATAACAGAAATACCACAAGTGGATGGCTTTAACAAACAGAAATTTACTTTCTCATAGTTTAGGAGGCTAGAAGTCCAAATTCAAGGTGCCATCTCTAGGGGAAGACTTCCTCTCTCTGACGGCTCTAAAGGAAGGTCCTTGTCTTTTCTGAGCTTCTGCTCCTGGGCGATCTTCATGTGGCTTGGCATCTCTCTTTCCCCATCCCTGCTTGCTCCGTTGCTTGTTTAACCTCTTTCATATCTCAAAAGGGATTGACTCAAGACATACCCTACACTAACCCTGCCCCATTAACATAACAAAGACAACCCATTCCCAAATGCGATTATAACCACAAGCATAGAGGTTAAGGACTTACAACACATATTTTTGGGTGACACAATTCAATCCATAACAGCCAGTGTCTGCAAAGTAGGCCATTCTCATGACGGGGCTCCCTGGAGCAACTGGGCACAGGCATGGGGTTGGGGATGAACCAGGGGCAACTGGGTATAGGCACAGGGCTGGGGACGAGCCAGTACTCAAGTTAGGGAGGATACTTTTTTCCTGACTCTACCTACATCCTGTTTGGGGTGGAGATTGAGTTGGGCCAGCAAAAGGCCAAGACTTCCTGAGGCCCTGAGGTCTCCAAGGCCATAAAGAAGGGTGTTGGGAGCCAGGCACTGAAGGAGCCCATGTATCTATTTTGTCTTATTTTAAACAATACAGAGAAGTACATAGAAGAAAGTAGCAGTTATCCAAATTCCTACCACCCAGAATTAACAACTATTAGTATCTTGTCATATTTATTTGGAGATTTTTTAAAAGAAAAACAAAACACTCTATTGATTATGTAAAAGTGATACATGATCATTTTAAATAACTTGGTGTAGACTAGCACAACAAAGGGAAAAAAAATTCAAAATCACCCTACATCCCATCTCTTAGAAATAATGATAGCTAACACTAAGTACATATCATTTTCAATATGTATTCAGTCATTCCTCTACATCTATGGGGGATTGGTTCTAGGAACCCTCATGGATACCAAAATCTGCAGATGCTCAAGTCCTTTATATAAAATGTCCTTTATACAAATAGTATTTGCATATAACCTACTCACATTCTCCCATATACTTTAAATCATCTCTAGATTACTTATAAATACCTAATACAATGTAAATGCTATCTAAATAGTTGTTATACTGTATTGTTTAAGGAATAATGACAAACAAAAGTCTGTACATGTTCAGTACAGACGCAGCCATCCTAGGCCTAACTACATAGTACACAGCAGACCCGAGGCGAACAACGCTCAAACAATGAGTGTTGGAGAGAGACTGAGGATCTGTGAAATGGTGGGAGGCTACAGCAGGGTATGCCAACACATCACTTCATTCGCATGGATTCGGTGTAGTGCTTGGCACGCAGCAAATTCAAGTTTTGCTTTTTGGAATTTTCTGGAATTCTTTTTTCTGAATATTTTCAATCCAAGGTTGGTTGAATCCGCAGATACAGAACCCACAATACGGACGGCCTACTGTATCTATAGAGAACCAAGGATAGGTCAGTGGATACACAGGCAAATGGGCTTATAAAAATGGGATCATTCCATACTTGCTATTTTTTCTAGATTACCAGCTTTGAACATTTATAGTATTAGGCTATACTGCTTTGCTTAGTTTGCAGCTGTTGATGACTTGTTGTTGTTATTTTACTACCTTTTCTTCAGTTTGTTGTGTATTGGAGGAGAGAAATTCTGTGAGGAAGTTTCATTCCATCCCACCCCAAAATTCCCACATCTATTTCGATCTCTACTTACATTGCAAGGCCACATATGATTTTACAAAATATCAGGATTGTTCTGTCACACTCTCAAATCTAGGTCTAAAATCAGTAGGTCTTTTCTAAGCGAAGCTTTGTTTTCTTTATTCTCTTCTGAATGGACATGATGACATTTCCTTTCATGGAGAATGTGATGAATCAGGCCAGACCGGATACAGCTTGATTTGTTTTCTGATCTGAGGACTGGGCAATCCCAGTATCTGAGGCTCTCATGGTCTCTACAATCCCTCTCATGTCTCAGCTCTCCTTTCCATTGAGATCCCGCTTCCTCGACAGACAGGAAGCGTGTCTGGTCACAGGAAACAGAAGCTCTTGGAAATTTTCATTCACACTGAGAGGCACATGAGCCAGGAGTCATAGCTTATATTTAGAAAACACTCTGTAATTTACAGATGTTTTTTCAATACTTTGTCTCAGTTAGACCCTCACTAGGACCCTGTGGGAGCCCTGGTGGCACAGTGGTTAAGAGTTTGGCTGCTAACCAAAAGGTCGGCAGTTCGAATCCACCAGCTGCTCCTTGGAAACCCTTTGGGGCAGTTCTACTCTGTTCTATAGGGTCGCTATGAGTTGGAATCGACTCAACACAGCAACAGGTTTGGGTTTTTTTTGGTTAGGACCTTGTGACCTTGGAGGTGACAGATATCATTGGTGTGTCCATTTTGTAGATGAAGAAACTGAGTTTTAGTAACTTGCTGAAGGTCACACAGCACAGAAATGGCAGGGGCAGGTCTCAACCCCAGACCTTGGGACATGGCTCTTTCCTCTGAGCCATGCTGCCTCCCCTCAGGGTTCCTTGACAGAATTGTATTCACACCATCCCCGCCCCCATCACTGCTCAGAGGACAGTCTGCTGGTTGGGAGGACAGTGTTTTACTGCCTCAAATAAACTATCCCAACATCATTACACCAAATCCCATCTTCCCTCTGGGAAGCAGTCCCTTTAACGATGTCTTGCTTTGACTCTGTAACTTTTCGTCACTTTTAGTTGCTAGAACAACTGCATTCCAGTAATTGAGACTTAGTCTTGCTCTTTCAAAATATAGTTTCATCGCAGATGCAAGTGCCTCTTCTTCCATTTCTCAGGGTGAATTCTAGCTGCTTGGAGTGAATGGGCGGACTGGAGAGAGACGTGAGGCTTCTCACCTCCATCTTCTTGGTGCTGACTCTTCCAGAGTTGGTGTGCAAGGAACGGGGATAAGGGAACAAGATCATCTTGACTGACTGCACGTCAGTGGCAAGGAGGGGGACTCTGGCTTTGCTCTGGATCCATCTGATGCTAGTGGGCTCTGCTGATGTGGGCACGTCCTCATGGTTGGGTGTGTGGTTTTCTTGAGGGAATATCCAGTTTCACCCATCCAGTTTCACCCCAGCCAACTCTGACACTGAACATCTCCCAGCAATACCTGCCCCAAAGCCCTTCTCCATGTGGGGGAGCCCATTACTTGGTCAGTGTTCTTGGGTACCCTAGTGCCCATGTCTCTCTGCTAACTCCCATGCTCCTTGCATTGAGCCACAGGAACCCCTGAGGTCCTCCTGGGCTCACTCCAAGGGCCATGGAAGACTGGGATGGGGTGGGGATTGCCTTTATATTCTTTCCAGGAAAGCCTTTTCCCTCAGGCCCTGCTAGTGAGGACCATCCTTGGGGCCTTCTGCATACTAAAATTTCCAGATAAGAAGTGAGCATCAGTTGTAGATTCAAACTGACCCCAAATTCCAAGGTGCACATGTCACCTGGCTTTAAGTAGCCTCTTGCCTGGGCAACACCTTCACTTCCTGCAGTCCTCTGCTTACATTAATCGAGGGTTTGTGGAGTGTGTTGGTGGATATAGTAGGGCTGTCTCCGGAATCGCCCAACTTCTTTTGTCCTTGACTTTGGGCCTTAGCAGAAGTTCAGGGGTAATATATAAAGCCACATTCAATCACCAGCTACAATAGAAACATGTCAAAGAAAAGTAGAGAAGCCTTCTCCTTGAGCCTTCCTGCTCTGATCTTACGTACTTCTAACATTGCTAATTTCCTGTCACACACATTTTGCTAAGTGTGCCTTTTTATTTTACGTAAGAGAAATCTAAGGTGCCAAGAAATCAGATGGCTTTATCCAAGATCACACTGCTTAACAACAAAGGAAAATAAACATCCACCAAGCACATACTCTACACCAGTCATTCTCACATGTATTAGCTCATAAACTCCTCATGACTCAGCAGGAGAGATCTCAGTCCGCATTTTTGCTGTTGGGTTGAAGTCGATTGCCAAGGTCACACAGTTAAGTAGGGAAACAGATTTGCTCCGAGGACTCTCTGTCCCAAACCGGTGCTCTTTCCAATGCAGTCTGCAAAAGGCAGTTTGCATCTATCCTCCTCTAACTTCCAGTCCTTCTACTTGTTCCTCTTCCCTTCTGTCTGCTCCTCTCAGCACCTTTTCCCAGTCCTCTTCCTCCAGCTCTTCCAGGGCTCTGGTTACTTGGTTCTTTGGTAAAAATAGCCTGATGGATGTTAGACTGCTATTCCTACTATGCAGTTCTTCCCGTAGCTGTTACATAACTGTGGTCACTGTCAATGAGGCAGAGTTTTCCTATTTTGCTTTTACTGTTGGAAGCCAAATGCCTGGTTGATGGAGCACCTTGCCAGGGGATTGCCAGCTGCCATTTATAGTGTCTTTCATTTTAAAAGCCAGAAATCTATGAGTCTGTGTATAAAGACAGGCAAAATCATTGACACCTCTCATTGCTTTCCAATCCTTTGTTGGGTTTATAATAAACTTGGGTCATGTAGGATTTTGAGGGTCTGCTTTTAACTACCAGCTTTGAAGACTTAGTATGACATAAGAGTCAGAGAGATTCACTCCCTAAAAATCCATCACCAAAACCTGGCCTCCTGTTTTGAGAATATTGCCTTGAACTTCACCATCCTCTCTAAAACCAAAAACCCCTTGCAGTGGAGTCAATTCTGACTCATAGTGACTCTATCAGACAGAGTAGAACTGCCCAATAGGGTTTCCAACGAACAGCTGGTGAATCTGAACAGCCAACCTCTTGGTTAGCAGCCAAACTCTTAACCACTATGTCACCGGGGTTTCCCACCATCCTCTCTGGAAATGAGAAATATAGCAAATTGTCTGTGTCCAGACATGATTGCTTTATCTCATTTTTCCATTCAATTGTAGAATTTATTTGATATTTGAGGAAATACCTTTTAATGCAAATGATCTGGTTATATAACCCTAAAGTGGCAGGAGCCAGTGGCTCTGGCTTCTTGAACCTTCTGAGATCAACCCCTTATGCCCCCTTTGAAGAGAAGCTGGCTGCTATGAGATATTTCCTTAGGAGGTGCTGGGCTTCCACCAGCTTGGAGCTGCAGCTGTGTCAGAAAGCCTGCCAGTCAGGTCCAGCGCCAGAGCACAAGCCCTTGGCAGATGGAGATAGCACTGCAGGAAGGGACGGGCATCTACAGCTGGCAGGGAGCCTCTCCATGCAGACCCTGGCCCTCTACAGATGCCTGACAGCAGGGTTCTGTTTCCCCAGCTTATCTATCTGCCCCACTCTGCTATTCACTTACAATCTCAGTTTTCTTCAGAGCTGTTAAAAATTCCCTTTCCAGGCCTTGCCATTAGGGCTGCCTTTAGATTGTGGGTATCTTGGCACTTGCGATGTAGCTGCCCATTTGTTAGCCAGTTGGTTAGCTCTGGAGCCATGATGATTCCTGTGAAGGGAACTAGAGGGTCATTACCTCATCCGAGGGGCAGCCTTGGTTGGAAATAGAAAATTCCAGAGACCACACCACAGAGAAAATAAACACAGGCCGTGTGAGGGAGAGGAGGATGTTTCAGAAATGGTACAGGACTGGGAATTGGGAAATTATCTCTGCTACTTGACAATAGTGTGACTTTGGGGTTGAGGCTTCTCCAGTCTGAGTCTCAGTTCTCCATCTCTCAGATGAAGGATTTGGCTCCATCTGTCTCTTAGTGGGTCCCTTCTGGTTCATGCTTTCTAAGGCCAAAGGCCAAGGGACATGCAGGTGGGCTAAAGAGAAATCAGGCACCTGACCCGGAAGAAAGCCTGGCTTTGTGCAGGATCTGATTTTGTATGCAAAACGCTAAAGGTGTCTCCAGCTGGCAAGTCCTTGACTTTCCATGAGCTTGATGAAATGAAGTCTAGCAGAGGCTGGGGAGGTCCTGCCAACAGGGTCCCCGGGCTCTGTTGTTAAGGCACCGTCAAGAGAGTAGGTCATGGGCTACTCAGGCTGAGGAATCTCCCCTTTCTCATTACCTATCTTCTTTCCCTTTGGCCTCCAGGGCAAGGACCAGCTGGGTATGCTGTATTCCATACTCAACCAAAAAGAAGACAAAGCAAAGTGCATAGCCACCCAGGGAGAAGGTAATTGGAACCTGGAGAAGCATGGAGCCTTAATGAGCTTTTAACAGAAAGGGGATCGGGGGAGTTGGGATGGAACTAGAAGACTAAAGAGGGGGTTAGGCCATTCCTTTGATCCTTAACCTTTCTCTCATTCTCATTGGGTTCTGCCCAAGACCCTTTCCATCCGGCCAACAACCAAGGTGTCTGTTTCTGTCTCAGACCTGGGAGGAATGAAGGACACACACAATCATTTAATTCTAGAGATACTCTGGAACAGAGTACCTAGACCTCCGGGCCCCTGAGAAAATGCCATCCAAACCTGTTCAAGGGGTGAGGATGCATGGGGGTGCCACATGGAGATACCAGGTGTGAATGATATTTAGACATCTTTGGACTGCTGGGTCAGTGATAATGTTACCTTTTTTTTTGGTAAAAATATTTGCCAATTCAACAATTTTTACATGTCCCATTCAGTGATACAATGTGATTTTTTAAAAGATAAGATGACTAAGTTAACCAAATATTTTCCCCTTTCTCAGCCTAGCTCGAGGAATTTCATCTTTGTCTCTTATGTCTTTTTGATACATGAAATGGTAACATGGGGAACTAATTGTTAACTCAAAAACCAAACATAATGATTACTTAGCCTTTCATAGGTCATATAGTAGATGACAGCATCTGATAGCAAAGCATGATACCAAAAACAAAGCCACACCCGTTGCCATCAAGTCGATTTCGACTAATAGCGACCCAATAGGACAGAGTAGAACTGCCCCATAGCGTTTCCAAGGAGCGGCTGGTGGATTCGAACTGCTGACCTTTTGGTAAACAGCCGAGCTCTTAACCACTGTGCCACCAGGGCTCCAAAGCATGACAGCGTAAAGAAAATTAAAACTAGCTGCTGTTGAGTCTAGTCCGACTCATGGCAACCCCATGTGCATCGAGCAGAACTGCTCTATGCGGTTTTCAATGGCTGTGATCTTTCGGGAGTGTATCGCAGGGCTTTCTTCCAAGGAGACTCTAGGTGGATTTGAACTGCCAGCCTTTTGGTTAGGAGCCAAGTGCTTCACCATTTGCACCACCCAGAGACAGGCCTACTCGAATAGATACTGTAAATACCTAGAAAAAAATTGCAGAGGACAGAGCTCCTCTCTGGAGTCAGAAGTAGGAACACATTGCCGCCGTGGTGCCAGGAGGTAGGAAATGGAAGTGTTGGTTGAAGGGCCAGCTCTTGTGAAAGAGATTTCTGTAAGTCATTGATGTTTGTGGAATGAATGAATAAATAAATGAAGGAGTAGAAGCAACTATATTGCCCGTTCAAGAGAGAGCAAGGACTTCGGGCCACAACCCTACCCCAGGCCAGTCCTCGGGGTAGAAACGACGGCCCGGTTAGAATCCAGAGGGCGCTGTCTATAGGAGGGCAGGCAGCTGCGGGCAGCCGCAACAGTAGTGATATTTGCCTCTGCTGCTCTGAACGTCTTGAGCTGTCAGGTTCATCTGCTGCAGCAGAGGTGGTGACCAGGGAAGCCAGGATGAAATTCTTGGGACTGTGTGGGAGAATGTTCCACCATCTTGCTTGTTCTAAACTGCAATTCTGGGGCACTCCTGCCTGGGCCCTGCCTCAGAGCCACAGGCTGAGACCTGACTGAGCAGAGCAGTTCTGCCCCATGCCAGAGGTCCTCACGAGCTTGTGGAATGTGAACTTCAGCCCCTGCTGTAGCCCACCCTCTCTTCTCCATCATTGAAACGGGCCAGTTCCTAGAGTGATATTCCAAGTGTTTAACAGTTGGGCAGGCATGAGCCCCAGCAAATTCTAACGGACCTATGAAGTTGGGTGGAGGTCTTTGAGCTGTCTTGGCTCTGGAAAATCAGTGCTGTGCCAGGTATTAACCCCTTTGTCGCTGGATCTTAGGGGTGCCTGAGGGAGGGCTCTGGGATGCTGATGTGGGAACTGAACTCAGGGATCCCTGGGGCAGGGGCTGTCAACCAGTCGGAATGGAAGAATGACAATATTTTCACGAAGTCACTGCCATACCAGTGTGGAGACAAGAACCTGGCCTCAGTGAGATAAAGGAGGAATGGAACAGGCGTCTTCAAGTCTTTGGAAAAGATAGGAAATGACTTTTTGGAAATCTGTGTATGCAGCAAAAAAGAGCAATAACAGTAGTTAATTCAATACTAGTGAATATAGTTGCAGCTGAACTATTTGTTTTCTTCGAAGGCAATAGGGAAAATGAAGCCTCAAACCTGAGAACCTTTGGATATAAGTGAGTGACCCCAGTGAGCACTGTGGATTTAGTATAGTTGTGTTGCTGTGTTTGGGTGTAGGCAGTGGACGGAGGCTCAGCCAGGGGCATTTCCTCAATGGCACAGTTTTAGGCGGTGGCTGAGAGCCAAGGCCGTTCACTCTGCAAAGGCCCAGCACAGAGCTCCATGTCAGAGCGCCACTGGCCCGCCAGAAGGAAAGCAGGGGAGTCAGATGACTGTTTAAATTTAGGGAAAGCGTGAAAGCCAAGTTACCACAGGCTGCCCGTGAGTAACCTCATATCCACTCGCCCCTCAGGGTTATCAGGAGCCAAGACCGGCTCTAACACAGCAGCTCCCTGCCCTCCAGGGTCCCGCAGTTTAGTCCTAGGGATGGGCACTGACGCAGGTTCACCCTGCTGGTGTTTTCTGCCCCAAACAGAGGCTTGGCCCTATAAAGAACTGTGGTGAGGCTGCAGTCTGGCCCCAGGTGGTGGTCCCCATCACCCCAGGCTTCAGGCTTGACTCAATTTCCTTCTTGGTCCCTGCTGCCGTCCCCCACCAATTCAGACACCAGTAAGTGAAAGAGGCAGACAGGGCCTCTCTGTGCATCTTCAGCATCTCTAGCCCTCCCAAGGCAGGGGAAAGACTACCCAGCTCTTGAGCGGCTCCAGAGTCCCCAGAGCTGGCTTGGCCTGGGAAGACAGCCCTGAGCTGGACTGGGGAAATTCAACTGCACAGTATTCAAGGCCTCAGTGCCAGGGGCCGGGCTCAGCCTATCTCCAGCACCGACGCCTCTGTGACAGCAACTCACATTACATCTTCATGTGTCTCCGTCCCCAAGGCGCCCAGAACGTTCTATTGCAATGCCTCTTGCTCATTCTTTTCAGTCGTGTTATCCCCTTCTCCAAATTTTATAGACATTTCCATTGTAGGTAATTGCAGAAACAATAAAAGGTATTTAGACACTCCCCATTTCATTACCTGCAGATTATCAGTTAGAATTTTCATGTATTTCTTTTGAGTGTCTCTCTCTACATATATATAGATGCCTAGCTACATATATGTGTGTGTGTGTATGTATACGTACGTACATGTTGCTGTAAGAAAATTAGCATAGTGTTTAGTATGCTTACAAAGATACCTCGTGGGGGGAGGGCATAACTGGCAAACAAACACAGAAGGCACATGTTATTTGCATAAAAATATGGTATATGGATTCTGACTCATGGTGACCCCGTGTATTAGAGCAGAACTGTGCTACATAGAGTTTTTTGTTTTGGTGAAAATATATACAGCAAAACATACGCCAATGAAACAATTCTTGCATGGATGAATCAGTGACATGGATTACATTTTAAGTTGTGTAACCGTTTCCGCTGTCCTTCTCCAAATCATTCCGCCACTATTAAGATAAACTCACTGCCACCTGAACTTTTTGTCTAACCTTTCAAGTTGCTGTTGTCAATTTGCTCCCATACAGATAATTCTTTAGAAGAGCACAATGCTCAAGGCAGACATTCTTTACTAATTAAGCTAAACTATTGTTTGGTTTAAAGAATACTCAGGGGATAGTTATGATTTTAAGTTTTAAAGGTTATCTCAGGGCAATAGTTTCAGGGATCATCTAGCCTCATTGGCTCCAGAAAGTCTGAATTCCATGAGATTTTTAAATTCTTTTCTACATTTTACATGCTTTTGATCAAGATTCTTCCATAGAATCTTTGATCAAAATGTTCTGTAATGGTAGCCGGGCACCATCCATCTCTAACCTTTCTAAGTTCTTCAGGGCTCATGGCAAAGGAGGCAGTTGTTCATGGAGCCAATTAGACACGTATTCCATTTCCTCCTTTGATTGCTGCCTCTCCTTCTTCCTCTGCTGCTCCAGGTGAATAGAGGCCGGTTGTTGTACCTTGGATGACCACTGCAAGCTTTTAAGACCCAGGCCCTACGCAACAAGCCAGGAGGTAGAACAGAAACTAAAAACAATATTAGACCAATTGACTGGGATGTCCCATGAAACCATGCCCCTAAATCTCTGAACCAGGAAAACAAATCCCATGAGGGGTTTAGCTCTACACAAGCAGCCTCAGCAGCTGCTCTTTGTTGTTGTTGTAAAATATGTATAATACAGTATTTACCAATTCAACCTCTCCATAGAGTTTTCAATGGCTGATTTCTTGTAAGTAGATTGCCAGGCTTTTCTTCTAAGGCACCTCTGGGTGGACTCAAACTGTCAACCTTTCAGTTAACAGCAGAGGATTAATAATTTGTAGTATATCAGGGACACCACATACACATGTACAGATAATTTTTTTTAACAAAATTGATATTTACTTTACAAATTTATCACTATATTACAAGCATTTCCCCAATATCATTCATTCATTCAATAACACCTACCATGTGCCATGCACGTTTGTATGTGTTAGAGCAGTGATCAAAATTTCTCCCCTCTCTAATCTCTAAAATTTCTAGAAAACTTCAACACCTCAGCAACAAAAAGACAAACAACACAATTTAAAAATGGGCAAAGGACATGAACAGACACTTCACCCAAGAAGACGTTCAGGCAGCTAACAAACACATGAAGAGATGCTCATGATCATTAGCCAATAGAGAGGTACAAACCAAAACTGCAATGAGATACCATCTCACCCTGGCAACAATGACACTGATTTAAAAAAAAAAAAAAAAAAAACAGAAGAAAACAACAAATGCTGGCGAGGTTGTGGTGAGATTGGAAATCTCATACACTGCTAGTGGGAATGTAAAATGGTACAACCACTATGGAAAACCATATGGTGCTTCCTTAAAAAGCTAGAAATAGAAAAGCCATATGATCCAGCAATCCCACTCCTAGGAATATATATCCTAGAGAAATAAGAGCAGTGACATGAATAGACATATGCACACCCATGTTCACTGCAGCATTATTCACAACAGCAAAAAATGGAAACAACCTAAGTGCCGATCGATGGATGAATGGATAAACAAAATGTGGTACATACACACAATGGAATACTACACAGCAATAAAGAATAATTGTGAATCTGCAAAACATCTCACACATGGATGAATTAGGAGGATATTATGCCGAGTGAAATAAATCAGTCACAAAAGGACAAATATTGTATGAGACCACTATTATAGTCAAGAAAAGGTTTACACACAGAAAGCAACATTTTTGATGGTTACCAAGGATGAGAGGGGGAGGGAGGGAAAATCACTAACTAGAGAGTAGATACGTGTTAACTTTGGTGAAGAGAAAGGCAGTACACAATATGGGGGAAGTCAGTACAACACAACCAAGGCAAGGGAAGACACTGAGAGGTACACAAAAATAAAAGGCAACGACAGTAAATACTATACCATACACAGTCCTGCAACAACATAATAGCAAACAATAATTTATGAGTGGATACATAGGTAGATATGTAAGCTGAATAGGTGTGGGAGGGCATATGGGAATATACCCACGTGCATATATAGGTTTGGCTGTGGATATTTTTACATAGATATTTGTATGTGCTGCATGTATATTCATATACATAATACAGCACACAGGGGGCACAGTCATGGAAAAAACCTAGACATAACCAAACACTTGTGGGACTGAGTTACCGGGCTTGAGGGCTAAAGAGCATAGTCCTGGGGGACATCTAGGTCAATTGGCATAACATAGTTCATAAGGAAAACGTTCTACATCCTACTTTGGTGAGTAGTGTCTGGGGTCTTAAAAGCTCGTGAGTGACCATCTAAGATACAACTAATGGACTCTCTCCATCTGGAGCAAAGGAGACTGAAGAAAACCAAAGGCTCAGGGAAACAATCAGTCCAAAGGACTAATGGACCAGAGGAACCGCAGCCTCCACCAGTCTCAGACCAGAAGAACTAGATGGTGCATGGCTACCACTACTGACTGCTCTGAGTAGGATCACAATAGAAGGTCCTGGTTAGAGTGGGGGGAAAAAAGTAGAACAAGATTCAAATTCATAAAAAAGACCAAATGTACTGGTCTGAGAGAGACTGGAGGAACCCTCGAGACCATAGCCCTTGGATACCCTTCTAACTTGGAATTGAAGTCATTCCTGGAGATCACCTTTTAGCCCCATAATAGACAGGCCTATAAATAAACAACAACAGGTGCGAGGAAAATGCTCCTTAGAACAATAATCTACATGAGACCAAAAGGACAACATATCCCCAAAAGCAAAGATGAGAAGGCAGGAGGGAGCGGGTAAACCAGACGAATGGAAACAGGGAACTCAGGGTGGTAATGGCAAGAGTGCTGCCACATTGCGGGCACTGCAACCTATGTGTGGAACAATTTGTTATAAACTATTGAATGGGAAACTAACTTCCTCTGTAAACCTTCACCTAAAAAAAAAAAAAAACCCCTGCCCTCTTGAGGGGAAGACAGACAGACAGTCATTACATTTCGATTTATTTGCATGTAGTTTTGTAAAAATTAAATCACTATAAGAAATGATTTTCAATTAATATGATCCACTGTTGCATGGATGTACTACAGCTCCCAGATAGCACAACTCTGTGAATAAGCTTGATGTGCAAATATTGCACAATGGACACCTGCCTCAAAGCTGGGTGGTGTTTGGACTGATGGAAGGCGAAGCCTTGTAGAGTAAGAGCAAGAAAAGCAAGATAATTACAATAGAGGGAGTAAAAACCTTTACTGTGCAACAAATGCTGTCCTAAGCAGTTCTAAATATCTTAATTCATTAATTCTCACAACAACCCTATTGTTCTATTGTTATTACCCATTCCCATATGTTACAGAGTAGAACTGCTCCATAGGGTTTTCAGTGGCTGCGATCTTTACAGAAGCAGATTGCCAGGACTTTCTTTCATGATGCCACTTGGGTAGGTTCGAACTGCCAACCTTTAGGTTAGTAGTCCGGCACAAACAGTTTGCACCTCCAAGGGATCTTTTATTATAGGTTCTATTATTATCCCAGGAGCCCTGGTGCCTAGTGGTTAAGAACTCGGCTGCTAACCAAAAGGTCGGCAGTTCGAATTCACCAGCCACTCCTTGGAAACCCTATGGAGTAGTTCTACTCTGTCTTACAGGGTTGCTATGAGTTGGAATCAGCTTGAAGGCAATGGGTATTATTATTCCCATTTTATAGACGAGGAAACTAAGGAGCAAAGAGATTAAGTAACTTACTCTAGGTCGCACAGCCAGGAGGTTGGGAGATGAGCCTGCATAAAAGGTTCGGAGATATTTGTTTGCAGAGGAATGTGAGGTACTTGTTAGGATGACAGCTTTTAGCAGAAAGTCACCAGCCACCCCTGCTCAGCTGCTAGGGACATAGAGGGGTTTCCATGCTTTGTATGCTAACTTGAACATTTTTTGTTGTAGTTGCTGCTGATTTTTAGAGTCTTTTCCTATTACCCTTCATGAAAAATAATATAAAAGAAATGCTTCTTACATAACAAATGACCTTCTCTCCCTATTAGATAAATTGGTTTAGTAAACTCTCAATAATGAAAGAAAGTATAGGAGTGTGGCAATAAATTGATCAACAGAGCCGCCTAGTGGCTAATTCTTAGCACAACTTCTTTTTAAGCGTCTCTTTTTCTCTTTTTTCAGTCCCAGAAAGTAACGCACCATCAGAGATCTTTAACAGAAGAAAGAAAGAGGCCAGCATGATGGTTCATCACTATTACAGAGTTTTAGCTCTTCATCTGATTATTCACTAAAGGACAAGCTAGAGTGTAAATGCATTCTTGGATCATCAGTTGATGAAGACAGGACAGCTTACTTACAATTACATAGTCAGAGACCCACTGAGCCAGCACTTCACAGAAACTCTTTCGGGGCTGACCTCTGCGCGCTCTGGGTGCTGGGATGCAGAGGCCACGGCCCTTGAAGAATTTAGAGCTTGAGAAGGGAGCTGCTTTCTGACCGTCAGGGACTTATACACATGTGGCCCGTAGGTCAAGTTCACCCTGGCCACTGACCCCTACTTGCACCCACTGACACTTCACAGCTTTGAAAGCCACTGTACAAACAAACAGAAAGAACGAAACTTATTAGTGCCTGCATCTAGAAACTTCTGGGCTCCTCTGTAGGAAAAGCCACCTGAGCATAAACCGACCTTGGGCTAGAATAATGCCTGTCTTGTGTGGGAAACCATCCCCCAAATACATCTTTCCTGCAGCGATCTGAAATACTGCTCCACTGTTTCCACTGCCTGGAAGTCCCTAGATCACCACATTTTTTTATTTAAAAACCCTCAAGAAATGCAGACATCTCAAGGCCTGTGAGGCAGTAGCCAGTCCAGTATCTGTGCTCTGGAGTCCTCAGGCTGCTTGTCTCATCAACCCCCAGTTACCTCGGCTAGGCTTGGAAAGGGGCTATTGTTGGAGGACAGACAGCTATGGGGAGGACTGAGACAGGCCTCATCCGGGTTCCACCGGTTACTGTCGAGTCGCCTCCGACTCATGGCAACCCCATGTCTGTCTGAGTAGAACTGTGCTCCATAGGGTTTTCAGTGGCTGATCTTTCAGAAGTAGATCTCCAGGCCTTTCTTCTGAGGCATCTCTGGGTGGACTGGAACCACCAACCTTTTGGTTAGCAGCCAAGCACATTAAATGTTTGCACCACCTAGGGTTTCCAGTCCAGGCACAGAGGGGCTCTTCTGGCTGCTGAAGCCCTTGGGAGATGAGAGGGGTTCAGGAGGGATGCTAGAGTCCTTCCAATAGCAAACTGTCTTGAAACACCGTCTGGAGCCAGCCCTGTGCCATGGAGAGGAAAAGGTACATTTCTTGCCTCTTGCCTTCCCCTGTACTAGGAGTCCTCTATCTCTTCTCAGAACACAGGCTCATTGGGACTCTCAAACCCAAGCCTGTCTGTCCTGAGACTTCTGCCCAGGTCTCCTGGCAGGAAGGAGAACAGGTGTGGGGTAGGGATGGGGGCATCCGCTAGACCCAGGAGGGGTCTTCCAGGTGCTGTGCCGCTGCCCAACTTCGCCAGCATTTAAAAGACCACAAGAAGAGTGGTCTGGGGTGGAGCCTGTAAGAATTCCAATTGGAAACTGGATAATATTCCTTAAGTTTCCCACCTCCGTCATGTAAGTCTGTTAAGTCTCGAGCACGTTTTCAGGGAAGCGCCATGTACAAAAAGCAGAGACGGACTGTTGTCTCATTCAGTCCCATCCTGGGTTAAATGGCCATGGCGGCCTGGTCTGGGACCTAACCACCATGTTCCATGATGTTCTATGGGAAAAAGCTATTTCATGTCCTGATACGAGCCTTAGGGGCCTGTGGAAGACCAGTCATCAGTGGATGCAGGACCCCTCTGTTGGGGACAGTGGCTGCAGGGTGGGCCAACACTAGGAAGGGTCCAGGGATGGAGTTTGGGTGGCCCTGAAGAAGACTAGGATTTAGATAGACATCATCCCGTTCGATCCCAACAAAACCTCGGGATATAGGCAGGGAATGAATGATTCCCATTTCACAGATAAGAAAACTGAGGTGTAAAGAGGCAGGGAACACAGTCAAGGATAAGGACAAGGAGCAGCTGGGAGACTGGTGTCCTCACTATTATTCCACACGCGGTTTGTGTCCGCCACTGCGTCAGGCGTAGGGTGAACACCCATGGTTGGGATTTTCCTACACGGCTTTCTCCCAAGCAGAGAGGGACTTACCTGGCCGCGGCTGCCTCCTTAGGGTGAACTTTGACTTCATTCCATCCTGGACCTCCTCCTCCTGACCATGATGTCTGAAATTCCCACCGTTAAGGTCACTGGCCCTGATAACTCAGATATCACCTACAACTATAGGTTACCATGAAAAGCAGAGACCCGGGTGAGAAGGGGATGAGAGCCGGTTATGACGAGAGGCTCCAGAGACGGCTGGCTAGAGCAGAAGCGGGGAGCTGACGGCACCTAGTGGCAGAGGGCACAGAGAAGGGGCTTATTTGTGCTTCCTGTTTCCCCCTAAAATTGGCATCACCCTTAAGGAACTGCGCCAGCTCCGGCATGTGTGTGAGGTTGCCTCCCATGGGGCAGTGGGGAGCTGCAGAATGAGCTGTGTACCAGGAGGCAGACAACCTGGCTCCATCAGTCTGAGACGATGCGCAAATCTTTTCTGAGCTCGTCTTCCTCATCAGTGGCAGGCTAATTTTATTACGATATTTGATTTTGCTGCCACAGTATTTTTCCTTCCCTTCATTCCCAAAAGGCCAGAGGCCCTCTGCTTGGTGCTTCCTTGCCCTCTGGGCAGCGAGCAAGAGCTGTTTGAAGATGTCCCTCTTACTCTGTCAAGGCCTGAGCTCCTTGCTCCTGTGTGGGTGTGAGCGCAGGGGTGGCAGGGAGGGAGCAAGGGAGATTTTATCCATCAGCCTGGGGAGGGAGATCAAGCAGGGGCCCAGGGACACGGCAAGGTATCAGAGAGGAACCAGGCATGGGCTCCCAGGAAGCCTGCCCCCGGGCACCCACTGGCCTGGGCACAGACCCTGGGCCACATTGGGGTGGGAGGGCAGAGTGATCCCCCAGTTCAAGTTGGCGTGGACCGTGACCAGGATGGACTGAAGATGACAGTTTCCTCTCCCACTGTTTGCAAGTCCAGAAAGCCTAGATTCTTGGTGGTCCTTGGAGAGACAGATGTGATTGGATTTCCCTGTGACCATGAGGCCAAGGGCCCCGGGGGTCGGATTTAGACCACAGCTGCCAGTCTTCTCCCTGTCTTCTCAGATCAGTGCGAGCATCAAAGGAGATAAAGTGGCAGCAGGAACTGTGGGCACGGAAAGGGTTACATGTGGCTGGCTGAAGTCCCCAGAACGGTTTCATTATTTTCACATTTTAGGGGTCTCCTCTGTAGGCTCCAACCAACCAACCAGCTGCAGTAGAGTTGACTCCCACTCATGGTGACCCCATGTGTGTCAGAATGGAACTGCGCTCCATAGGGTTCTCAGTGGCTGATTTTTCAGAAGTAGATGGCCAGGCTTTTCTTCTGAGGCACCTCTGGGTGGACCTGAACCACCAACATTTCAGTCAGCAGCTGAGCGTGTTGACTGCACCACCCAGGGACTCCATGGGCTCTAAAGAGCCCTCTCTTTTTTTTCAATCTTTTATTTTCCACCATTCTACCTGCCACTCTGATGCGGTAAGCCGCTCCCCACTTCTTCCTGAGCGTGTTAGGGTGTGCCCCAGCCCATACTTCACTCGAGGAGGGCTTTGCAGAACCCTTGTGCTCCCTCCACCCTAATACCCTCTGCCTCCAGGGGACCCGCCTGCATCCCCCTGTGGGGACTGGCACTTTCAAATGTGCTTCAGAGGTCCTCTGACGTGGAGAGTGGCCGCCCCAGAGGCGGGCGCGGACTCCCGCAGCACAAAGACCACAGCCTGGAAGTGGGAGGGAAAATGCTCGGCGCTCGGTCCTCAGGGCTGTGCCCCTGTGACTGGGAAACATCTGGAGAATGAGCAAACCTGAGCAACATTTGGAAAATGCACCACCAAGCAATCCTCGTGATCACAGACCGCGGCCCTGCCGGAAGGTCCTGGAGGAGGCCTTCCCGGATGGTTGCAGATGATCCCGTCAAGGAGTCCAGAGGTGGAAACCTAGACTCCATGGTAGACGCAGCCTCCAGTTCACTGCAGCCCTCCGCAAAGGCCCCAAAGGGCCCTCCCCTTGGCAAGGTGGGGGCAATCTCTGGGCAGATTTCTAAAAAAAGTCTCTCTATTTATTTATAAAGTAAAAAAGTTGTATCTGTTCCTTATAGAAAATTTAGGCTATACATCTAAACACAATCTAAAAATCTCCCACAGCTGCATGACCCAGAGCTAACCATGGTTAGTATGTTCAGTATATATCTCATTCTTTAGCTGTCTTGGTTCTTCTAACTCCGTTCCCTCCACTTCTCTGGGGAATGAGAGTCTGCGCTGAAGGCAGCCATCCAGGTGAGGGCGCCCCAGAGCTGGGCGGCGGCTGGCGCTAGCTGTTAACTGTTCCCGCAAACGTAGAGGCCTGGTACACGGGTCAGGCTTCAGTGGGATTGACCCTCTAAGCCCAGCGAAATCTACTCCCCCTTGAGGCTGAAATAGTTCTCCTTAGGAGTGACGCCCTATTGTGTTGGAAATGAAGACCAAAGAAAACCCAGGCACCAAAGCTGAATATGCCACAGAGAAGTGAAAACAGCCAGTGAAGAGATGTTTGCAAAATGCCAAGGTGTCTACAGTGCAGAAAATTGGAGAGCCAGTTAGACAGCCATGTAAGGCGAGGGGCCACAGGGGCGGGGGTTGTGTCCACACTCTCTGCCTTTCTTCCTCTTCCTCCCCCTCAGCCTGGTCTTCAGCCACCAGGGTGCCCTAGGGTTCAGTTCTGGCCCTCTGCTCCCTGGCTGCACATTAGCACTCGGGAAGTTGTTAAAAATACAGAAGCTTCATCCTAGGCACCTGTGTCAGGCTCCTGGGGTGGGCCCCGTGTCAGTGTTTGTCAAAGCTCCTCAAGGAGATTCTATCCTACAGCCACAAAAGGCGCTGTTCTACGTGGTTGTTATGGGTTGAAATTGTGTCCCCCAAAAAGATCTGCTGATGTCCTAACCCCTGGTACCTGTGAATGTGATTCTGTTTGGAAAAAGGGTCTTTGACATGTTATCACTTTAAGATAAGGTTACTAGGGCAGGCCCTAATTCTATATGACTGGGGCGCTGGTAGCACAGTGGCTAAGCTGTTGGCTGCTAACTGAAAGGTTGGCAGTTCAAATCCATC